ACGTGACGAATATACCCTGTCGTCAAAATTTCTATTAAATGAGCTGGAAATGACCAAAATACCCCTGAATTACCCTTAATTCTTTTTAGCAATATTTTATCACACCTAATTAATTAAACCACCCTAGGTCCCTAAGCCGTCAGCGGCGGTACACCTGACTACTCCTCGCCGGCGACAGGAGGCAGGGTGAGATGACGACTGGTGCTGGTGGGCTTTATCGAGCGGATATAATAGGCAGTTAATTAATCTAGGCAATTAGGATTCCCACGAATTAATCTGGGCAATTAGGATTCCTAGATTTTTTTTCAATCAATAACAACTCTTCTACCTCTGATGGGATTGAAAATCAAGGCAACAAAGGATCCAAAGCAAGGCAGAGTCAACACCGCCATCGCTACCGGGCCCAACAACCACGCTAGCAGCTAGGGGTGAAAATTGCCCTGACTCGTCCCTGTCTCGTATCTGATCATGTCTGACTCGTCCCTGAATGGTCAAGATGTATAACTGACTCCTTCTTGATTCTGTCTGACCCTCAAGGTTTGGGACGGGTGGGGTCAGTGAGTCGACCCTAATCTACATACTGTATTTTTATAAATTACATTTTTGTACCCAAAATTATTTTTTCTTACAGTGTAGTACCTAAAATTTATTCATTTTTTACAAATAAGTCCTTAAATTTTGATGGTATAATTACCTTTTGGTACCCAAAATTTTTAATTTTTGCAATTTAGTACCTAAACTTTTATAACTTTTACAAAGTGATCCAATGTGGTATGAGGTATTTGTTGTTGCTAAGGGTCACAGGGTCAAAAAGTGACTCGTCCTTAAGTTGACCCGACCCGTCCAGACCCTTGTAGGATCAAAAGCTGACCCGTCCCTAAACTGACCCTGTAGACAAACTGACTCGTCTCGACCCTCAAGGACGGGACGGATCGGGACGAGTCAGTAAATTTTTAGTGTCAAACATACGCCCCTAATAGCAGCGTCAAGCTGATACAGAGAACCCTATTCCCCAATATGAATATCCCCAGCTTAAACCCTCTTTCCACCAGCCTCTCCGTGTTATCCGCCGGCACCCACCTCATCATCACCTCCTCCTCGTCATCATTGTCGTAGCCGCAGTGATAGAAACCATAACCCGTCGTCGTCTGACCCCCACCTGCTCCAGTTGCCGGCTAGGAGGAGTCAGGTGATATCGTCGCCGAGGGTGCGCCGGGGAGTCTTAGGGAGTGGGGGCAGACGAAAGGATGGAGTATTGTTTGAGGTTTAATTACTTGGGTGTGATTAAATATTGCTAAAACAAATTTAAGGGTAATTTAGGGGGTAATTTGATAATTCCCAGCCCATTTAATAGCCGCTTAATAGAAAATTAGACGGAATAGTATATTTATTAAGTTTTAATATTAGATGGGTATGTTTGTGCAAAAATTTAGTAGAAGTGTACGTTTGTTAATTTGCGATAGTAGAGGGATACAAAACCCTTATATAATCTATTCAAATACTACAATAACTATCACATACCCCAAATCGATGAAAATTACAACGCATCCATTTCCTTAATTTCACATATAGTATTATGCATGTATAGGAATTGGATTAGAGGTGATAATTTGATATGACAAAGTGATGTACGGTAGTAGGCTAGTAGCACAACTAACCATGATTTGCCACACACAATAATCCAACTCACATAACACAACACCCCGTTTACTACTCCTCCACGGCCAGACACATTGAACTTATTATCATCCCAAGACATGCATGCCTGGATTATTAACCAATAGAGATAAATATGTGCACACTATTTGCTTGCCTAATATTTCCATTTTCTACAAGGGGATGAGATTGAGGAGCTAGGACCATATGATATGGCAGATAACACTGTTGTCAATTGGGACTTGAGAGACAGAGAGGGGGGTCCGGTAAGTGGTCCATTTTCTCAAAATCAAAATAGGACCAACAAATATCCCATAATCCATGTGCAATAAATTCACTTGTTTTCCCAAGTTTTGAAACCTTGCAACTAAACCCATCTTGTCCCCGTCAATCCGATTATGGTGCTTACGGTATGCTTTCAGCATATGTTCACAATTGAGCACTCTGCATACGTGATAGTTAAATAGATACGGTGAAAACTTATTTACCTCGTCAATTCAACCCGTCAAAATGCATCTATACCCCCGATTCGATGACTAACAATCTTTATAAGCGCTTACTCATAGATTGTGTCGTGAGCACAAAACCCGAATTGGCCCCACCACACCCACTGCTCCCTGCATGTGTGCCCACTTGACTCCATCCAGTAATAGACCTAATGGATGGTGAAAGCAACCAACCATAATCATGGTAGCCACAAGCAAAATGCAATATATATATATGTTACCTGCAACATCATGAATCCCCGCCACATACATATATAATTAGTTTTATTTCTTATACATCGGCTTGTAGGGGTGTGTTTGTTCCCCTTTACGTGAAAACAATGGTGGTGGAAGGGACGATGGATAGGTTTCGTGCCCACCATTATCAAGAACCTAAACGCAGATCAAGAAAATAACCCATATATTGGTTCTCTCCTGTTCAATATTGCAGAAGATCGATTATTGATCTCAGTTGCACGTGTGCACTCTAGTAGAGGTGTTTGTTCCCACCGTTAAACACTAGCCATTATCTCAATGGCAAATATGGGTTGGTGTTTACCTATGAAGCAAATGCGGTGGTTATTATGCTAACAACGCGTACAAGCAAACGTGGTTTGATTGTACAAACGAGGTTTGGTCAATGCAATAACCATATATTAATGCTACCTATATATATGAACAAGGGTTTGGTCTAGTAGTAATATCATTATTGTCAATAATCTGGAGATTCTATGTTCGAATTCTTTAAGTAATACATAAACCATAAAAAAAAAGGTAAACCTATATCACCATTGTCGAAAAGAAGAAGAAAAAACAAACTAAATGCACCAACATAAAAAACCCAATGACCAAAATCCAAAGGTGATCTGATTCCTTACTTACAGATTTGCAGCTAGGGCTGCCAATTTGGTTTTGGTTTAGTAAACCAACCATTAAGTATGGAAAATCAAAAATCAAATCAGACAAATTTCACAAAAACTAAACCCAAAACCATTAAGATATTATCATTTTTCATTAATCGATGACGGATAAATCAAAAATCAAACCCATAATTTGAGAAGTTAAAATATATATGGAGTCAGAAAACACAACATAAAGCTTGAAGATGACAAGTATATTATTACACATAAGTTTGTGACAATACATGTTGATGATGGACATTGACTTAGTTAGCTAGGGTGTTACTAGTTTCTGATTGATTTGTTATTAGTTTTTGATTTTAACCAAAACCAACATCTTTAAGTCATAAAACGGTTAGTTTAAAACAATTAAAACAAACTCATTAACCTTCTTATCGGTTGTTTTCAATTAAAATCAAATCAAACTAAACCAAACTGACCGCTCTACTTAGAGCTAAGTCACCACGACCGAATTGACCAAACATTTCTTTGTACTAGGAAAGACAACCCTCGTCACCGCACAACAAACCCAACTTCTGTTCACGATTACGTGTGAAGCCAAACAAACGAACCTCCTTAGGGAACAAACTCCCCAATTGGTGGGCAATCGAAGGGGCATAACTTGGGAAAGGGCTTCCCCTAATTCAGCTTCACGACAGAGTTTTTTGCAACACTTGAATGCAAATGCAGGCTTTACTTACTTACCACGCACGAAGGTTCCCGGCTCCTCCATCCTCCTGCGCAACCATTTCCAGAAAGAAAGAAAGAAGAAACCTTTCGATACTCTTTCCATCTCTCAGCTCTTTTCTGACATCGACAGGCTCTAAGCCAATATCCAAAGGATTCCCAAGAAACAGGGCAGGCCCACCACTCCAAACCCAATTTCACCAGGCCACATACTAACTGGACCATGGATGGCCCGCTCCAAATTTTGGCTCTACTACTCCACTTCCCCCCAGCCTTGTTCAATAATTTCCCCTTACCATTTCCAGGAACAAGGAATCTGCAGCCAACCAGGCCAGATCAATCTTCACCAAATGACCAAAACCTCAATATATTCACTTCGCTCATCAATACCTCGTTGGAGACTTTGACATGTGATCTGCTGCTCTGATTCGTCGCAACGAGTCCAAAGAGACGTGTAAGTCCACAACAAAGAATTCTCAAAGTGAGCACTCTATGGCTTCGTTCGAACTAGATTACAAAATAAATTGAAATTTAGGACACAATTCAAGTCCTCCAACCATTGCAATATCAATTGAACATCCTAAAGGAAAGAGAACAATGATGCAAAACCAGACACATCATAACACACCAGAGCCAGAGAGCACAGAAAAGGCTTAAGCCAAACACAGAGGACCAAGTCACAGGTTGGCCTAAATATTCACAGAGATGAGAGGATGGTTAGTCACTATCAAATCTTTGGTTCTCACCCCCCAAAAGTGATGATAGTTTCAGCAGAACTGCCATGCAAGCAAAGGACTAAAAAGCCTAGCACAATAAGTCACAAGAAGATGTTTTCCCCTTTCATGCCACTAACTCTTATGAAATAAGATATAACCCTGTAAGAAAAGTGTACCACACAGAATCTTGGTCAAAAATATTTAACCCCACATGACAGCAGTGCCCCTGCCTGCCCCAACTGCATTAATTGCTGTAAACGTAAAATTGTTATCTTCAACCAGTGGTCCTTTACTTTCCTCATATGTATACAACATCAGATGCCAATGTCAAGCCCATTTAAAGGGCCTAACGTGGTGGTCCACTTGTGACCCTCTTAACGCTAATAACGTTAGCGAGTACTTGAATGAACAGCTTGCACTGAACTTCACAAGTCACAAGCAAAACTAAGATAGTCGCATTCAGGTTCTGCATCGGAGTTATGAGCTAAAGGGCAGCAAATGGGTCTGGTTTCCTCATTGGCTGCAACTTGCTTGAAAATCTAGAGCCAGATCAGATGGTATCTGTGATACTTTTCTTACAGGGTTAACTCATTTCATAAGAGTTAGTGACATAAATCAGATGGTACTTAGAGAGGGTGATAAGAGGCAGCTAAAAAACAAAAAGAGTCGACCAGAGAGAAAGAGGGTACAATGGAACAGGAAGACCCATAAACTAGATGGGCTAATATCATCGACAGGGTAAATTTTTGGAAAGATATGCATATGTACGATGCCAAACATTGTTCAAACTAGGCGCAAATCACCTGTAGGCCATAACCCACACAAAAGTTACCATAAGGCCACGAGGGAGTCTAATAAGAAACATGGGTTATCATTGCATATGCAGTATACTGAGATTACAAACATGATGGGTCATGTTCTGCGATTACTGAAGCTCTCATAATCGATTTCTGGTATACAGATAAAAATACAAACGAAAAACTCATTCAGGGACATGTAACAAAGTTGATTCGATATCACAGACAAAAAATATGAGAGACGACTATGAGAAGTTATGATAAAAAATAAAAGCCTAGAGATGTTCCATGGAAACTAATTAAACCTGGAGCAACGATCATAATATCCCACGAAGCAAAGAAGCGATCTTTGTTACCTATTCAAAGATCTGAGATGCATTCACCGCTATTGCTCTTTGAATTCCTCTGATGAAGCTAAAAGATAGCATCATGAGAAACCGGTAGCCTAGAAACCTGTTCAGAAACTGTAACGAGTAATCCTGAAGATATTCTGAACTTCTATCATAATAGCCATATGAGAGTAACGAGTCAGGGTATCCAGACATATAGAAAGCATATGTGTTTCCTCCAGATGAAAAAATATTAATGTCCAAAACAAACACCAACTTCTTTACCAGATTAACAGCTGGGACAAGATGACAAACTTAAGACGAACCGTTATCAATTACTAATCAGCAACATTTCAAGAGCTGTCTGAACAGCTCAAGAGCACAACTGGAACAAGCCAGCTGCAATACTAATGAATGAATGGTCTCATGGGACCTAAGCCCAACAGGTATGATCCATAGCCACAGAAGAAAATATAAGTAACCTTTACAAGGAGCACGCAAAAGTTCAGTCATGAGATGATTCCTTACTCTGCAGAAGTTGCAGGTGCAAAGTTGATTCCCACACAAACATTACCATAAAGCCACGAGGGAGTGTAAGAAGAAACAAAGGTTATCATTGGATATGCAGTATACTGAGATTACAAACATGATGGGCCATGTTCAACGATTACTGAAGCTCTCACAATTCAATTCTGGTATGCACAGATACAAATACAAACGGATAAACTCATTCAGGGGCATGTGACAACGTTGATTCAATATCACAGGGACATGTGACAACGTTGATTCAATATCACAGACTATAGAGAGCAAGAAGTTATAAACACAAATAAAAGCTAGAGATAATCCATGGCAACTAAGCAAACATTGAGCGAACATTCTCATATCCCACGGAGCAAAGAAGAGATTTTTTTTCACCTATTCAAAAATCTGGGGTGCAATCAGCGCTACTGCTCGTTGGATTCCTCTGCTCAAGCTGAAAGATGGCGTCATGGGAAACCAGCATCCTAGAAAGTTGTTCAGAAACTGTAAGTAGTAATCCTGAAGATATTCTGAACTTTTATTACCAAAGCCATATGAGTAACTAGTCAGAGTACTCACTTGATATAGAAAGCATATGTATGTTACCTCCAGATGAGAAAACAAATATATCCAGAACAAATCACCTTCAACTTCTTTATCAAAATAACAACTGGGACAAGATGACAAACATAAGACAAACTGTTGTCAATTACTAATCAGCAACATTTCAAGAGCTGTCTGAACAGCTCAAGAGCACACTGAAACTAGCCAGCTGCAATGCTGATGAATAGTATCATGGGACTTAAGCATACCAGGTTATAATCCACAACCACAGAGTAAAAGTAAAGTCATGAGATGATTCCTTACTCTGGCAGAATTTGCAGCTGCAAAGTCGATTCCAATAACATTGAAAACTTAAGACACACTTGTGTGGTTCTCAAATGATTGATCGATCTGTTGTTCTAAGGCACATGCTCCTTAAAACGGATATAGATGCTACTAGGTGAGAAAATCACGACTCAATCTAAATACAAGTTTGAGCAAACAATCCAATCATGCTTTGGCTGTTACCACTTACCACAACGTTCTTTCCAGCAACTAAGTTAGCAACCCACTGTAAGGAATTTGAGCATTCAACCCTCTCAACTTGTTGATTAAACCTTCCAACTTATCCAACACTTTTGCGCATGAACAGAAAGTGCAGACAGCAGGTGCCATGCATACAATAAAGAAGGGCTTATAAAAGTTCTCAAGTATTTGCAAAAACTTCTCAAAATCAGGCAATATGAAGATATAGTGAATGCAACTTTGGTTTGAAGATATTTTTTTCTCAGCAGTCAGAGTCAGAATGAATTTTCTAAAGGAAGGCATTTGATTCTGAGGATCGAGTTTATCCCTGCAGCAGGTGTTCCAAGCCATGTTATACAAAGATTTGATTGCATATGAATGACACTAGGAAAGTCAACATATAGGGTTCTCGTACGCATGTTTCTTCATTCTCGGTCTGTGACTTGATATGAGATGGACTAGTACTTCTGATCCTAAAAGCAAAATAGGTTTCGTTCAAGAAACAGGTCAAGTCTATGGATCAGCCTGTATCAGTACCCTAATGTGATCACTGCAACAAATTAACCCTTTCCTACAGCCACAGTGAAAGAAAAACTGGGATGTAAGATTGTCCATTCTATATCACACTCATATGCAGCAGCACAGAGCAGTGATCCTACTAAATTGAACCACAGTTTCACCACCAGCAAACAGCTCTCTAGAATCATTCAACTTGGTTCCTAAAACAACTCAGCTAACCTATGCCTAAACCAGCAGTTCGTATTCCAGACCTGAAGTGCATGTGAAACTTGAAAATTTTGGAGACCTTAGGCTGCAGTCCACCAACAACTGCACACTATAGCACCAGCAAAGAACATTAGCACGCCCTAATCATTACCAGCTACGCACCCGGCGTGTTACGCATACAGTTGATACTCGTCATAATTGATAGAGAAAGACATAGGCATATTATGAAACTCAATGAATTCAATGGGTAACTAATATTAATATCTTGATGAAAAGCTTCGAAATGTATACAGGAAAAGAAAAACCTCCCTTTCTAAGCCAGAAAGTCACATCTCTACAAATGAAATCAACTGGCACCAACAGGATTTTTTATGACGGTAACAGCTCTAACCCATATAAGACATTGGCGTACTTCTCCATAGCTCCATCCTCCCAATCGTTGAAGTACTTCTCCCTCATTTTCTGAAATGCATGGAGTGTAGCCAAACTATCCGAGCCGGCTTGGTGACTCTTCCCAGTGACCCTCTCCACACCCAAAGTCTTACACGTCCTGTCCAGACCTCCAAACAAATTCGCCACAAACCTCATCAGATGCTTAATGTCATAGACCTTATCGCCGAAGAACATCCTCACTATGTCCAGAAACTCGGTTAACCTGTCCGGCAATGGACGCTGGGTCAAACACTTGACCAAGTAGCCGAAATCGTAAGCGCTGTGGAAAGTGACCCAACTGACCGAGTCGTTCAACACCAGGCCCGAAGACATCATCAGCTCGGCGAATTTCACTGCCTCGATACCGTCCTTGGTGTTCTTCTCGAAGTCGATCCCTTGCCTCCTCAAGAGATCGACGGAGTCGTGAGCGTGCGAGTCGCGCGTCACGTCGAAATCCCTAAAATTGAATTCCCAAATAAAGCAAGTAGTCCCGGTGCCGAGATCCGGCAGATTGCCGCCACGATCAGCGATCGTGAGCCCTACCTGGATCAGTTTGAGCATGTCGACGTTGGCCTTGAGGCTCAAGTACCGCCCCGTCGGATCCTGAAGCCGGTTCCCTTGCTCCTCCCCCTGCGGCCGCATCACCACGCCGGGGAACTCCGTGTCCATCGAAATCAGCGGGTAATCGTCGACGACGGCGCGGATCAGAGCAAACTCCGACTCCAGATTGTCGGCCCACACCGATCGGATCGCGACCGGCCGGGGAGACGAAGCCAGGACCGGTCTCGGTGGAGGAGGAATAGGCGGCGGTGGCGAGGACAGGGATTCGTCATCGGCGACGTCGGACATGATTTAGAGACGTAGGAGAGGATCGGCGTTAAAATACAACGCATCCAAATCCGGATGATGGACGGCCGACTGGTTCGAGATTTTTTTTCTTTTTCTTCTTCCTTTGGGGTTTTTCCGGCGAGGGAAGGGAAAACTGAGAGAGGCGGAGAGCGGAGGAGGAGGAGGAGGTTGGAAGGGCGCGGTGGGCGGGGAGTTTTATAGTCAAAGAGAAACGGCAAAGGGGGAAGAAGAAGGAAGGGCAACAAACGTGGGGTTCTTCGTCCATAGGGCGGTTCCATTGGGCAACTTTTTAGTTTTTTTTTTTTTCCTCCCTTTCTTTTCCCTATTGGAATTAATTAATTACATTATAGTTTCCTAAACAGGAATTCAGTGTACTTAAACAGAATTCCAATAAACTTCAGAGATTAAATCGTGTATTTTCCAAGAGATAGGGATAATTGTAGCATAACGACTTAACTCTTCACAAATGGCATTTTTAGTCCTTGTACTGTGTAAATTTTGCACATACGTTTTTGTACATATGGAATTTTAACCATGGATATAATCCATCTACCAATTTGGCAGATAAAAAATCGTCTCCACCAACTAAGATCTGATTAGTATAGTTTCACCTTTAAAAACATTAGTAGACCATTGGTTAGTCCATTGGTCCGATCTAATTTAATTTTATTTGTTACAAAGTTATCTATTAATTCGGTTCATTGGTCTGATCGAGTAAGTAAGTAAGTTAAGTAAAGAAGGCCTAGAAATTTCTCGATTTGATGCATGAACGTGAGTCCAAAACGACCGGCTTCTGCTTCTTTTTTTGTGTATTAAAAGCTGTGAACCGTAGTGATATTCCATTTTAGTGTAGGTAGAAGCCAAGAACATTGGTTCATCCCCAGAAGAAAGAAAGTGATGGACAAGATAAGTAGGGCGATGTTGGGTTCTCTTATCCATATATGTATATATATGCTATTTTTCAGAATAATTATATATATTAACGAGTGGGTAGAGGCGTAGAGCTATTGTTAATATAATATATTAATTTTTAAAATATGGTGGAAATGGGGTAGTGAGGAAAATATTGTCACTACTTAAATCGGATGGCATGACAACTATCATAGACTAATACAAACGTGGAGTGGAATAACTACGGGAAATCAGGGGGAGCCTCACAGTATACAACTACTGTTTGATATTTGAGTCCGATTAGTTGGCGTATAGAAATTTGTTTTTTAACATAATTTGTTTGTGTCTCACCGAAATAGTTTTCACATTAAAATGAATATTATTGTGTGGATCACATAGAATCTGAATTTTGGGTTGTTTGGCACATGATATATAAAAATTTGGAGTTGAACCGAAATAATTATCGATAGATAAGGAGTAGGGGATATAGAAAATGGGGGGGGGGGGGGGGGGGGGGGGGGGGGGTAGAAAGAGTGAAAGTGTGCTGGATGGAACATTCTAATTGGTCACAAGCGGTCCTCGGCCCGCTCTGCTGCTGCATGTGCGAGATCCCCCGACATGTTCTTGTCAGAAGATGACCTTCCCGATGCGGATCTTCAAGAAGATGCCCTTCCAGCCGCCTTCTCCCGCCAAGCACATCCTGTCGTGCTCTAACGGAGGAAGGAGAAGAAAAACGTAAAGGCAGACAACAACGGAGGGGACGATAATAGGGATGGCAATAAAACCCATGACCGCGGGTATCCGACCGCCCCCGACCCAGTCAACGCGGGGAATCCCCGCTTTGACCGGGTATGGGTAAAACCCGCAAAAAGTTTGATGGGTATGGGGCGGGTATGGTTTTGACCTCCCCCGCCTCATACCCATACCCGCCCCACCAAGAGAATTTCTTCACATATAAAAAAATATGTGGATTAAATTGTAATCTATCAATGGTGATGAGAATAACTCAAGGAAATAAATAGTAGAAATGCAATTGAGTGACCATTTAATCAAAATCTAATTCATTTCCCTCAATTCTCCTTTCACTCTTTCACTTTTCCCATTGTCTACAAGATTATGTTAGTTAATTATTACTTAGTAGATGTATAAGAGTTAGAAGATAATAATTTGAAAAATATTATACTCTATATTATGTATTAATGGATGTTTTAGGATCATATACTTTGAACCGTATTAAGAAAATGATCGTGTTTTGTTCACTTCATGATATAATAGGTTCGTTTAGAGTAATAATTAAAACTTTTCTTGTAAATTTTAGGTATAATAATGTTAGATGTATGGGTACGGGTATTACCCATGGGTACCCGAAACCCACAGGTATGGGGATGGGTTTGCAAAACATTCTCCCGCATGGATATGGGGCGGGTATGGGTTTGGGTATTTGAAGATGGGAATGGGGATGGTTTAGACAAACCCGCCCCAAACCCGCCCCATTGCCATCCCTAGACGATAACGAGAGCAAGGAGCAATTTGGATTCTCGAAAGAGCTCACGAGCAGGTTCGAGGTTGGGGAAGAAGAGGGGAGGGGGAAATTTGGGTATGCTTGTTCCGGTCAGGAAGGGTGATCGTTTAGGATTTTAATTTGAGAGGTTGATTCATGGGTTGGGTTGACAAGATGATGTTGCGGGCCGAGTTTGACAATTTCCGGATTAAATAGGGCTGACTAGACGATTATGTCTGCCACGTCAGCACGTAACGGCCTCTGTTAACGGATATGGACGACGACAAATGAAGAGTGACCAAACATGAACGTTTTTAATAAAGCTAATAACCACTAACGAAATTAAATATTTCGAGTGCTTAAACATGAACATTTTTAGTAAACTCAGTGACCGAACTTACAATAAACTTCTTTCCATTGATAAACAAGTTGATGATACCAAATCACTCGCAAATAAACTCGAGCAAAATAGTCTTAATAAACATAACGTATCGACCTCTAATCTCTATACCACATTCTCGCAGGATGGGACGTATATGATGCGTATTTCAGGCCGCAGATCTCCACCCCATTCCCTAAAGCAAAACAAGCGGCTACGACGTGCAGCAGCCACCAACTTGCCCCGACTAAAAAGTCCAATCCATGTTCATTGAACCACCAACCTCAAAAGAAAAGGACTTGTTCATAACATAATCAATCACCATGACATCAAGCTTTGACATTTCCAAGTCCTATCAACAAGATTCACGTGAGATTAACATGGCTATTAATCAAAGTTCATCTCCTCATGACAGATCCCTAAAAACAAACTTACCTGCAGAAGGTTGAGTCATGCAGCTTGCTGCTGCTGCTTTGGTAGTAGTAGTAACTAATGAGAAGGGACAGAAGCATTCACGGTATTGGAAAATGACCAAGAGGCAATATATAAAATCTACGACTTTTGACTACCCTTATGATGGTTGATTGATGACACACATAAAAATTATCCCATTAATCAAACAGCAGCATTCCTTCTTCGGGACACATCACATTCAACAGGAAACAAGGCAACCAACCAAATGACACAGAGACAGAGAGACCCAGACCAACTGGAGAAGGCTTTTTTCTTCAAGGAGGGGGCATTCACTTTGTATGTCCCAGAAACCTCAACCCAGTTCCCACCATTACAAACTTCTATATATGCCCGGGATTGCCTCCGGGCAATGGATATGTTCCTCCATTAGCCTCCACCACCACCTTCCTTCTTCATGGCTAGAAGTAGGTTCCCTCTGGAGGTTGTACAAGCTTCCGGTTGTGTGGGGCTGCCATCTCCTTCTTCAGCTGTGTCAGTATGTCTTCCATTGTGTACTCTCTTTGCCAATTCCCCAGCGCCCCAAACTTCTTCGGTTCCACCTGCCACCATTTCGATAGTAAGCTAGTCATGTTGCAGATTAACACAGAGCCATGGATAGACCAAGGTTATATCTATTCTTGCTCCCAAAATTAAATAGCATCACGAGTATGTGAGTCAACAACTCGAATCATGAAGAATCGGAATCATACCACTCCAGTTTCATGATTCACACAAGTCATGTTGACTCGTGAATGGAAACGAACACTCGGTGGCTTCTCAGGGTAATCTTTGTCGCAGAACAGCTTCAATTGATAAATCCGGCCTTCATGTACAGTCTGGGACAATAAAAGAAGAAATATTTTAGGCAATAAACGTAGGTTGTTAAAAATTGAAATGCAACATAACAACCAGTAGAACCTTTGCATGCAGTGAAGATCCTTGCATACAAAAGGAATTTACATTCTAAGTTTTTTCTGCCATATATATTTGAATGTGTATATCTATGCATTTAATCTCCACAAGGCGAATCCAATGAGGATCTGGTCCCAATCTTATATCCTCATCCTTTATTTAGAAATCCTTCTTGGAGGAAACGATCTTCACTTAAAACAGAATGTATACGTTCACAAACTTAATTTGTCATATCCATACAGTAAGTGCTCCACAACTAAAGAAAGAGGGACAATTCCACGAACTCCATGAAGCTTACAACTAGCAACTTTAACAAGCCTAACCAGACTCCTTAAGAAAACAAAAGGTGAACGAGCTATGGCATGCACAGTACCAAAACATCAGAATGGGCCAAGGCTAAAGACAAATCAAAATCGCAGCAGGCAAGGTTAAATAGAAACAACCAATCAAGTAGCATGCAGAAGAAAGGAAACAAGAGAATCATAGCATCTAAGAAAAATATCAATCTCAAGTCCTACTGGGATCAAGAAGAAAGAAGAAAGAAGAAAGAGGGACAGTGAATGCAATGTTGGGGGTAAGAAGTGAAGCCAAAACGTTAACAGATTGGGGCTAGAGAGTTTTCCAAAAGGTAATAGCAAAGATCCTACCCTAAACAGGCTGCATGACGACAGAAAGCATACCATTTCATCATGTTCATAGCTCTAACAAGCAAAAGAGTCAAATAATGCATTACATTGTGAGGACCAATTATCGTGCCGGTCCAAGAGCGCATGTAAATGTCATCTCCATCATCCATTCCATAGCTTACAGTGCCATCTCCAATTCCCTTCTCCCCACGTTCAAGCTCTTCCAGCAGTCTGAAGTTCCTAGGGACTGCAACCATCAGTCAAATGGCAGTCACAAACCACAGCAAACATTGGGAGTCAGAAACAAATAGGCATAAAATGCAAGAGAATAATATAAACAGAAAAGACTGGAGCAAAATGCTTAGCTTCCAAAGTGATAACATTTCCTACACTTTCACATGGGCCA